CAAGATCTTCTATCCAAAAAATAAATTGTTATCAATATTAATTTAAAAAAAACTAATAATGATCGAAAATTGCATATGCCTATGAATAGTTCAACTTAAGTCGAACATTTTTGAAAATTGCATGGTAGATATAATATACCTATATAAACATTCAGTGAAAATTTCATGTATCTATAGTCATTTGTTTTAAAGTTTTTAACTGATTCTACGTACAAATTCCTGTTTTTTCATTAATTTTTAGTTTGTTTATCCCGATCATTAAGAAAAATATTAAGAATTTTTTTACATTATATATTTTTTATTGAGAATTTTTTTGCTTTTGACCCCCAAATTATCAACTAGATTCACTTTCTGATCGAATGAGGTACTGAAGTCAAAAATCGAAGCACTTTTACTGRCCCAAATGTGATGACACAAAAAATAATAACAATAAAAACACACATCATGGTTAAATCAATACATTCATCACTCCGCTCAGAATCTTAAAAAAAAACTGGGGAAAACACGCTGTGCTATATTATGTATGTTTTAAAATACTAAGTCGTTGAGGTCACTGTGTCGACCTTTATTATTTTCTAAGGATATATAATAATTTAATTGTTACTTAAAGTAATAAACTACTAAATTAATATTAAATATTATCAGTTATTATGAACTTATCTATAAGGAAAATATTTATACATTATACTAAGTTGTATTAACTATACCATAACATAGTAAAATCACTTATCTCAGAATTTAAAAATGATTTAAAGTAAATTGTAAACTAGYACCTAGGTAAGAGGTATCAATTTGCAGATTTAAAAACATTTAATCTATTAAACTAGTAATTAAAAATCGATAAGAAATAATTAGATATTTTGTTAACCATAATATGCATTACCATTACCCAAGGTGGCCTATCTGATGACAAACTTTTAATCTAATTCAAAAAGATTATCGAAAATAATTATAAATTTTCAAACAAGATATTAAGCAAAACAATTGATACTAATTAATATTTAACTACCTACATAAATTACTTGATATAACTAGGTACCTAACTCAGTTAATTTGACTTTTAAGTATTGTTAAAATAATAGTATATTATAACAGAGCACCATATTAAATGTTAATATCTGTATTTTACTTTGCGACCATTTTAAGTATCATTAACAGTAAAATAGTGTCTAAAGAAAATTTGATTTAGCATAGTTCTGCAAATACTTATCGATGGCAATAAGATTATCAATTCTATGCATTTTTTTGTTTAACATTAGGCACAGCACACAATACAAATATTATAATTCATAAAAACTGTTAACAGTAGCTTATTAAAAATAATCTTTATTCTAGGAACTGTCTTTTACTTAGCAAATATTTAATGAGAGCAATAAGATCAACTCTGTGCAWAAAATGCACTTAAGATTTCACTAAGCATAAAATGTTTAAATTAAATAATGAAACTTTTCAGATCTTATTAAATTTAGAAACTACATAAGTATTTTAACATAACAATTTATAATTAGTAAAGTTTGAACCAAGTTTTAATGKTACAAKTTTTGTTTTATTCTATTCAATATATGTCACTTAACATCAAAATATGATACCCAACAAAAACACTGAAAAAACTACTTCATTACGTACATGTTTAGAGCTTGGAAATGTTCTCATTTTGAATAGAAAATTAAGAACATAGGTTTTCTAATTACTATATACCTTGAGTCCTTTAAAATAATTCGTGATATCATCTTCATCAATTTCAAACTGCAAATTTGACATATGAACCAAGAATGGACCTTCTTGAGGCACAGTGCTTTCATCTATAATAGATTCACATGCTGCTCTTGGTGCCTTAGGAAGGTTTAATGGCTTAGGTTCAAATCCAAAGCCAGCAAATCCTAAAATTAATATTATTTTAAATAATATTAGATATACATAAATGACAATACCACTATAAAAAAAAATTAAAACAAAAAAAGCATGTTCATCTTTTATAATATCATAATATGATGGGTATCTCTCAGAAAAATTATTAATGTTATTTATGAATAACAGTAACTGAAACAGTCTAGAAAATGAAGAAAATTGTAGTGTACAAAGGACAATAAATGTTATACACCTTATATGAAAAGCCCTCAGATTTAGAGATTAACAGTCAACAAGAGATTAGTCTGAATTGAGTTACACTAGCATAAGCTAGAACCTTGCAAATTGAACTAAAAATGCGAATCACAGGAGGTTCCAACAGTAACCAAGATTATAGTCTCAACCAGAGGCATCTCAGACTCAAGAATCTTAGAACTGGACCAATTTCTGGTTCTCCTGCCCAACTTTTTTAAGAAGGCCCCCGGCTGGAGGGTAAGCGATTTTGTCTCAGACCTTCCCGAGGTTATCAAGTAACAAAGTACTCAGTGTGTGAACCCCTGAAGCAAGATTCTTGTTGACTGATGTTACTCTGTTAAGAAGATTAAACAACCAAATTAACAGGGATAAGCTCTAAAACATTCATCATAAGGCATGTTTTGAAACAATTAGGTATTAACACATCTTAAACTGTAGAACAACAAAAAAGTATACCATGTTTTCCATTATGTTCTTTTTCTGCTTCATCTGCCCAGCATGTTCCACTAGCAATTGAAATAACTTCTGTTTCTATTGATATCCACTTCTGTTTTTTATTCTTTTTGCCTACAATAAAATTTCAATAAAAGTAATTTATATTTAATAGGTACATTTAACTTAATTAAAACGTACATAATTTTATAATATATACTAGAGTATTAAAAATTTCTTGATAATAATGATAGAGAATATTATGGTATAAAAATCACTCAGCAAATAATGGCAAAAAATAAATACAATTCATAGACAACCGAAATATGAATGTAACATTCCGGATTGATGGACTAATCAAAAACTATTAGTCCCTCACTAAAGAAAGTCATATTTTAATTTACTTCCATTTGACGGCCAAAATGACAATACAAGAACAATTTGGTGCTTTTAGGAAGATACCTAATTACCTGTTAATAATTTAAATCAAATAATTTTTAATTCAAAAAAATTAATAAAAAACCTGAATATGTTGAAATAATTGGATAAATGTAACATTCCGGATTGATGGATTAACCAAATAGAATGATCCCTCACTAAAGAAAGTAATATTTAATTTACTTCCATTGACGGCCAAAATGACAATTATAGAACAATTTGGTGCTTTTAGGAAGATAGAATCATTATTAACTAAGGTTTGGGTTTAAATACTCTAAAAATATGAAAAAAATGCATTCACAAAAATGAGTAAATTCTTTAATTTAACTGACTACATTTTGTATTACACAACATTACTGAACTACATTGTAATAGGTACTCCAATAAAAGTTGTATGCAATAAAATAAAATAATTGGTTGTGTGACATTACTATATTAGGATAAATTTCAGCTTTGTCTAATTTAAAAAACTAAATTAGGTACCTGATATTTTATATAGTTTAAAATGAAAATGTTTTATATAATGGAATACCTATGTTTATATCCCAATGAATTCGATATTATTGAGTCATAATATGAAAAATAAGTCAAAAATGCCTCAAAAAAACATTATGCTTACAACATGGATTACATGAAACTTATTATATATTTAAGATGACAGCATGAAAACATTTACAAAAATATGCTCATATATTGAAACCCAAGCCCTATAAATAACTTGCATCATAAATCAAAACATTTTGAATATCTAAATAAACAAATTAACCACCCAACTTGTTCCGAGTAGTTTAGTAGAAAATTGAAATGAATGTAACGTTCCGGATTGATGGATTAATCAAATTGGACTTATCCCTCACTAAAGAAAGTAATCTTTAAGAGGACGTTTCACCCGCATGTGTTGTCTCCGTCTTACAAGTGCGTAACATTRCAAAAACTKTTWYGCGCRGGAAAGAACCRAGAAAGATACAGTTATAACTAAGAAACGAAATTTTCATCACATAAAAAGGAGAATTTTGTCTGTGCAATATCGTTTTTATTTTTTCGATATCAGAACTACAAAAAAAGTTATT